ACCACCCTGGTACGGGGTGGTATTGTATGGTATCTTCTTCGTTTTTAATTCGTTTTTGAAAAGGTTTGCACAGAAGGGACGAGTTCATCATGATCTATTGGATCTACAAATTTCTGGGTGAACAAATTACAGGACCAAAAAATACCACACAACACCACCCTGGTACGGGGTGGTATTGTGTGGTATACAATGTTAAAAGTCGTAAATTACAATTAATATACTTCTACTATCATGTATTCAACCATCCTACAGTATTGGTTTGTTCATACCACCATGGTACGTTTTTCAAAACATAGGTATGCTTTTATTTCAATACCAGTCAATACCATATGGTATAGGCTGGTAAAAAATGGCTCAATTTTTTTGTTCGAAAAATATATTAAAGTGGATATCATTTTGAAGAGCACAATTAATCTGATCTAACTGTGCAAAAAAAATTAAATTTCGACTTAAAATGAGCGAGAAATCGTCCGTCAAAGATTAAAAAGGGAAATATTAAATGCTTTCCATGGGAGAGAGGATGCTGATGTCATGCTGATGTGGACGGGTTACTCATGGTTACTCACCATAAGGTTACTGACCTGATCCATTCCCCTTCTTGCCTTCCCAAACGACTACCAAACTTAAAGATCTTTACCTATAACTTGCGCCTTAAAATATTGACTTCGTGACCAAATCATTTAGTCGGTAAGAAGGGAACAATTGGTTGGTTTTTATAATATTTGACAAATTTTGTAGTTTTTTCTTAACGATTTAGACGGAGTTTTTATGACCTACTACATTGATCACAAAAAGGTTTATTTTGTGACCAATTCCACTTCTCTTCACAAATGCTTTGTGTATTGTGACAAAAGCTTCGAAAAATGGTTTTCCTAATAGGGCGAATGTGACCAAAGCTTCAACTAAAAATTTTTTGTTACTAATAGGTTTTGCGACCAAAGTGTGGAATCTAGAGACTATTTTGTCCAGTCACAAAAATCCATTTTTTGTAGTTATAGACTTGTAGTGTCATCTGATGGACTAGTGGCTTTTAATTCTTTTTCCTTATATACTTTTTTCTTAATTCTTTTGGCACAAAATTCTATTAAGTTAGAGATCACGTTATCATTGATTGAGATTTTGGCCAAACTAAATAATAGAACTAACGGATAAAAAAATTTCATTACACAATTGTCAAATTGAAAAGTATGGAATAGAAATGACAATTTTTCTTAAAGTCGGGATTAATTGTGACATTAGTCCATCTTTTTTTGGCATTTGGAAAAACAATTGCAGTGATGCTTTGATATGAAAATCAAAATGTCACATATTTTTTATAATTATGTTTAAAAATTGATCAACCTTATCTGACATATGACCCATGCAAATATGACAAGACCCATACATATCCATTGTTATTCATATTTCTATTCCTATTTCCAACCAGATAACCACATCATTTTATGGGGGAAAATCCTAAAATACACATGTTTTAAAAACAAAATTCCAAAATACACACGTTATAATTTTTTTTCCAAAATACACATGTTTGGATATCACCGTTGTTGTCAACCACAGTGAATGCATTCACCGCGGCAAACCAAAGCGGTGAATGTCTGACGTAACACCGAAACTTCAAACAGAAGTAACTTTGCGCTCGATTATCAGATTATAGCGAAAATTTGTTTATTCCACATAACTTTTCAAGATCTTGCAATCCGCAACAAGCTTTCGTCCAAAAAAAATTCGTTTGCTACCCCGAACGAGCAATTTTTCGATTTTGACAAACTTTGGAAGACCATAACTTTGTGCTACACAATCCGAATGTAATAAAACTTTTTTTGATTTCACATAACTTTTGAAGGACTACAACTTTGATTATAACCATACTTTTGGAAAGTATGTGGATTTGTGAAAAGTAAAGGCAAAGTTATTGCCAAAATCCCGTATACCCAAAAATATTTCTTTTTAAAAACTTATTTCCTATTAAAAGTTGTATTTCTTAAAAAGTTATGCGCAATCAGAAAAAACTTTACGAAGTTCGGATTGAGGAGCTAAAAGTTATGGCCTTCCAAAGTTTAGCAATATCGAAAAATTGCTCGTTAAGGGTAACAAACGACATTTTTTTGAGATTAAGTCTTTTTTTAGATTTAAAGATCTTGAAAAGTTATATGGAATGAAAAAATGTGTATTTTGGGAATTTTTTTTATAACGTGTGTATTTTGAAATTTTTTTCTAAAAACATGTGTATTTTAGGATTTCGCCCCATTTTATGAGAGAAGAATAAGACTTGGAGACAAAACACAGAAAAATAAATGACACGCATGTCGTTTTCCATTCATAGAACGAAAATTGTGGAGCAGTTGAATTAGTGAAGCTATCCTCCTAAGATCGACAATTCACCCTTTCCATTCTCAAATAACCTTCAAAACGTTAATCCCGTGTACTCTATTTATTTCCGGTATAGTCTTATTTTTGTCAACCACTCTAAAAACAAAATAATAATAGAAAAATCTCTTAATTTGTATATATATAAACCATGGCGTTCAGCAATTTCCGGCTTTGCTACTTTGCTCTCCATTTGCTAAATTTGTAAACCATCCAATTTCTCCTCTGTTTGCTGTCGCCCCTTCCCAATGGGGGGCGCGACATCGTTTCCATCGGCCAGCCTCATGTTTTATCAAGGAAAATAGCAAGAATTTCCATTGAGCTCCTGTTGCTTACTTCTCCCCAGGCTCCACAAAATTTCTGCAATGGGAGCCTGTTGTAGCACCGAGTTCCATTTTGGCCCTGAAGATGCCGACGACCCCACTGAGCATAAGGAATACGACATTGAGAGCAACGCCGGTGATGATGATGTCTTCTCCGGCGATTATGGGGCCCGCGTTCGTCTTCATGGGGCCTCCAAATTCATATCCATGTTCACCCAACAGGGGAAGAAAGGGGTCAATCAAGATGCCATGACCGTCTGGGAGGTAGGTCGCCCTAATAGTTTCCTGCTATACGACGATTCAAAAAATTTGAGTTCTAGGATTTGAGTATTTATGATTGAAAATGCGGGTTTATTTTTATGTTGTGGTGGGTGTGGCAGGAATTTATAGGGGATAAAGAGATGACATTTTGCGGGGTGTTTGATGGTCACGGACCTTATGGTCACAAGGTATCAAGGCACGTTAGGGACAATCTACCATCAAAACTGTCCACAGGTATCAAATCATCACATCTGAACAACTTCGATAACAGCGACGTTAACCTTAGCAGCGATGGGGATAGTGACCATGATGCCAGCAAACCAAAAGATGCCAAAAGTTCCTTGCTTTTATCTTCCTGGGAAACATGTTTGATGAAATGTTTCAAAGAGATGGACCAGGAACTCAGCCTCGACGCTAGCATTGATAGCTATTGCAGTGGCGCCACTGGGGTCACCGTAACTAAAAAAGTACAAGTCCTTAATGACCATTATTAATTTATTTTCTCTCATATGATCAATTGATCGATTGATCGATTTGTTCATGTCTCAGGGGAGGCACTTGTTGATAGCAAACTTGGGTGATTCCAGAGCGGTTCTTTGCAGCAGAGGAAACAAAAACCAGCTGATCCCAATTCAACTCACGGTGGATTTGAAACCCAATGTCCCAAGTAGGTTTCTTCCTCTCTTTGATCTAAATTTCATAATATGGGTATTTGAATTGGCGTTTACTTTTAATGATTTCATTAATTCCCTAGGCGAAGCGGAAAGAATCAAGAAGAACAACGGCAGAGTTTTTGCAATGGAAGAAGAGCCGGAGATTTTTAGAATATGGATGCCTGATGAAGATTGCCCTGGTCTAGCCATGGCAAGAGCTTTTGGAGATTTCTGCCTCAAAGATTACGGCCTCATCTCGACCCCTGAAGTCTCCTACAGGAGGCTCACAAACAATGACGAATTCGTCGTTCTAGCCACCGACGGAGTAAGGAAAAAATCCAAAAGTAGAAGCATTCCTTTCATTATGTCCTTAATTAATCTTACATTTTTTCATCTCGGTTTGTAATTTACAGATATGGGATGTGTTGACTAACGAGGAGGTGATAAACATAGTTGCATCGGCAAGGAAGCGATCAATGGCGGCCAAATTACTGGTTAAGTACGCGGTCAATATGTGGAGAACGAGACACCCAGGTTCTAGAATCGATGATTGTGCAGTGGTATGCTTGTTCCTAAAGAGCAAAACGATTTTGGCGAGGTCGTTCTCGGAGGTAAGCAGGGTGAGCGCCAACCACACAGAGCTAGCAGAAAACTTCTCGGAAGTCAGTAGAGCTAGTGTTCATCACTCGGAAATTGCTGCCGTGCCGTTGAAATCTAGAACAGTGAGGCAACACGTGGGGCGTCCGCCGTTGGGACCTGATCACACCAATAACAGCAACAATAGCAACTCAGAGCATGATGGCGGCGGAGTGGAAGCTGATAGCCATGGAATGAGTAGAGCGGACTCGTTCGCGGTGGCGTCTCCTGCAGGAAACGGGTTGAGCCAGAGGAGAGTGGCGAAATCAATGGAGTCGGTTGAAGCCTAACCCAAAAAACCAAAATCCCTTTGTTTTGATTTATTTAAGCCTTTCCCTTTTTTTCTTTCTGAACTTCATTAATTTTCCTCGGATGTTGAGGACGGGCAACGATTTGGCTCCAGGAGATTTATACCTTTTTACAGGAAAAAAAGAAAAACTTGCGCATCTTTTTTGTGCAATCCACCTTCCTTTTTGGTCAGGTTGCAGTTAGTGAAAGGAAGAAACATTTCCCAAACACTATTATGCATTTTCACTCTCCACACCACCAACTATTTATTTATGGCACAAGAACTTTACATTTGAACTTTGACAGAAGTGTTTTCAGACGTCATGGTCCCAGATATCGGCCACTATCCTAAAAGGGCCTTCGGTTTTGTTGACGAACAGTTCTTCCCCATCCAGCCCCCGTTTCTGTACAGGATTACAGCATAAGAAAACGAGAATTTCTTTAGAGAGTGAAAATGTTGACGAACAGAATTTCAGTCGTCATGGTCCCAGAGATCGGCCATTATCCTAAAAGGGCCTTCGGTTTTGTTGACGAACAGTTCTTCCCCATCCAGCACCCGTTTCTGTACAGGATTACAGCATAAGAAAACGAGAATTTCTTTAGAACAGATAGATCTTAACAATTCGAATAGTTGGAAAATTTTACGAATATCCTCCCATTAAACTTGGACTCGCTCATAATATGTTGTGAAAATGACCTGCTCAATCGCAATAACACTTCAAAAATACATTTGCACAAGGTAGGCCTGGTTTTTTTACATGATCAAGAATACTGGAAAGAACCTGAAAATCGGCTTGAGGAATTTCCCAGTCGAAAACTTGAATGTTCTGTTTGATTTGATTCTGGTGGGTTGATTTCGGGATGACGCTTGTTCCTCTCTGGAGAGCCCATTTCACCAGAACCGTAGCAGGGCTTTTGTTCAGCTTGTCTGCGACCCTTTCCACGGTCTGATCGTGGATCAGACCCCTGCCACCTTCCGACGATCCCAGCGGCGAGTAAGCCTGCAATGCAAGGGACATATTAGAAAAGTTTCAGAGAAAACTTACAGATTCATCGGAGTGAATAGTTGGTGAGAACGTAGTGATTGTTACCGTAACATGGATGTCATTTTGCTGGCAGGCTTGGAGCAATTTGTCGTTTTGCCAACCAGGGTGCATCTCAACCTGACAAACGGAATGCATAATCTGAGCGAATCCGATGAGCTTGTTTAGTTTCTTGACGGTGTAATTGGAGACTCCAGTGTCTCTAACGAGGTTTTCCTTGACGAGAGACTCCATTTCTCTCCACACGCCTTCCATGTCGAACTCCAGAACGTCTCCACGGTTTGGAGGCCTGCTGGCCCCTTCTTTCAGACGGAATGGCCAGTGGATTTGCAAAAACCAACAGAAAATGTATATCATCGATTTTTCTTCAAATTCACAAACTGGGTGTTTGAAAGAGTGGGATGGAGTACCAAGTAAAGGTCGAGGTAATCAAGTTGAAGTTCCTGAAGGTTATTGTTCAACTCTGTTCAAACCAAATCCGGAGTCAGATCAGTGCGCCTTTCACATTCATAAACCTTGATTCCATTAGGTTCTACTGTTAGTTAAAAATTTGGGGGATTTAGATTGCAAAATTTTTAGGTACCAAATTTTGGAAGTGACAAACAGATCCTTCCTCTCGACTCCTGCCTGAATGGCTGCATTGATTCCACGCCCCACCTAACCAAAAAACAACGAAATGCAAATTCAATTATCCACTCAGTTTCAGTTTTCTGGAAAAGAGTGGATGAAGCAGGCAAAAGATGGATTAGCTTTGCTTCTTAGATACATCTTCTTGTACTCCATACTCAGCTGCTGTATCTACGTGCCTGTAACCAGCCTGCAGTCAACAATTAAACATCCCAACGTGAGGATTTGTTACTATATGCAGTGACCCTGTGTTAGATTTTTGTTAACTACCTCGGTTATGGCGGTGAAACAGAGTCACTAGCGGTAGAACCAGCCCTCCAAGTTCCCAGTCCCAAGCTGGGGGGTGTGCCTGCTCAACAGCTTGAACGAATCCAATTGCTCGTCGTATGGTGTCTAGCTTGCCTGTGCCATTTTTGCTTCGCCACTCTGTTTTACCCTGGTGACAATTTTAGCGATGGGAGAGAGACTTTATAATTGGCAAAGGGTAAAGGTTGTAGGTGTTGCGCAGAGTGGAGTGGTGACACGTACAAGGAGGATATATGGGTGAGTGTCTTTAGATGGGGTTGTTCCCATAGGATACGTTTCAGGGCACTCTCAGGAAATTTTGCGAGGCATGGCGATGCGACAGAGATAGACGCAGGCCAAATAAGAGGGGAGGGAATGCTTCTAAGAAAGAGCAGGTCTATGAATGTGTACCATGTCTTCTGCTGGGCTTGGTGATGAAGGCTCATAGTCTCATTTATGTTATGGACTTGTCTATGGTTGGCTTTCATTATTAACCTATTTTTTTTTCCTGCTTTAGACTCTATTTTCTCGCGGTTGGATATTATGTTTACCCTTAAAGGGTTGGTTTTTTGACACCCCCTTCTTCATTGGTCAATTTTTTATCAATCATTTAGTAAGTATTAATTAAAGTAAACATAATAAAAAATTTCTTTATGCATATTATTCACATAATAAATAACATAATAATGACATTTTCTATTAATAAAAAATCTCTTTATTAATACAAAAATCATCCTCTCTAACCCTATCAGTCTCTCTCTCCTCTCCCCCTCTCATTCTGTCGTCGCCGTCACCACCATCCCTCATGCCTCTGTCCTCCTCCACCGCCTTCCACCAACACCACCACCATCCTCCTCTCTCCAATCACCGTCGTCCTACTATCACCATCTTTATCGCTGCCACCATCCCCGTCGTTGCGACGACCTCCTCCCCCACGCTTCTCTCTCGGTGAGTTTTCAATTTTCATATCTGACATTTTTTATTTTCAGTTCTGATTTTTGTACCACTACAATTTAAACTCAGATCTGAGATTTGTACCAGTGCACTGGTAGCGATACCACTACATTGGTAGCGATATCAATGCATTGGTACAAATCTCATATCTAAGTTTAGATTGCAATGGTACAAATATCAGTGCAGTGGTATAACTTTTAAATGTAGTGGTACATTTTTGCAGGTGCTCGGAGGAAGTCTGCTGGCGGGATTTTCACCGGAGAAGTGTGGTGGTCGGAGTAAGTCTGGTGGTCAGAGGCTGCTGAAAAAGGAAGGATTAGAGATAGGAGAGAGAATTTTATTTTGTGTAGGTTTTGATTTAAAAAAATAAGTAATTAATATGGTGTATTTAATAAGAGTATTAAATTCTACAAGTTGCATTTAATACCAGTTGGTGTCAATTTTTCAACCCCTTAAGGGGATTAGCAAGCTAACCGATCCCTCTTTTCTCGGTTTGAAGAAGGTGATATCAACTAGTCGAAGGAGGGCATATCAACTTGATTGAGCTCGACTATGTAGATAACGGATATTTATAATATATCAAATTTTTTTTGGTGGGTCGGGGGGGGGGGGGGATGTCGTGATCGGGCGATTGAGGTTTCCGATTCAATCACGATTTTACTGTTATTATAGTCGTTGTTCATTGGGTTACTGATTCTACAGACCCACGATCTCCTATGAGATTGTGGGGGGGGGGGGGTCAAAGTAGTCGTGCTTTCCCCTGGGCTATAATTCAATTCATCCTCCTAATTTGGATTCTTATGATTTCAAAGGGGTGGTTTCGTTTGAGGATTTCTCAAGCGTTTCCTCAAGACAAGTGCATGTTTAAGTTTTTTGTGATTTCTTTCTTGTTCCCTCTCGCTAAGTCTCATCCTGGTTTTCAATTGGTTCTCCACTCAATAAATTCAACAATTGATAGCGATAATGGAGCCTATAGGCTTCGACCAAGTGGTTGTTTTCTAAGATGTTGACATATGACCAGTTCAAGCGCAACTCAGCCTAGTTGTGAAGATGTTCTCTCTGTGTCTACTGTCTAGTACGATGATGGATCGTGTAGCCAACGAAATTTAGGGGACGTCTGTAAACCCAATCGTTGTTCATGAGGCAGAGTGTGCTTTATGTGATTTATTGTGGTTGATAATCATGTTTGGAAAAGGATAGTTCGCCTCTCACCGTGGATAGTCACAGATTTTGTGTTTCATCTCAAGCCCTAGTAGAATATTAATGACTCTCTGGTGTGTGATCAAGCCCTAGTAGAATATTCATCTCATAGTCTACATGTCTACCATCACGCCACAATTCTACACCTTGCATTTAGGAAGAAGGTTTCTAGACCATATGGATGGAGGAGTGGATATGCGTGAGATAGGGCTCTATTCTTATCACCATGGCCAATCGAAGGTGTTCAATAGTGCGAAAGTGTTCGTTGATGCTGAGGATCCTCTTTGTTCTCGACTTTTTTTAGTAGAATGAAAAAAGGGAGGCTACTGGGATCATTTGGATTACGAGTACTTGCCATCCTTAAGCTTCCACTGCGGTGGTCAGGGCCATGGGGAGTCTCAATGTCAGTTTGCTTCTCCACCATCGAGCTAGAAATTAGTGTATGACGCATCCATGTCCATAGTTTCTCAAGATTCTTTTAGACGAGCATACCTTATTGACGGAGGGTCATCTGCCAGTTCTCATATGACGGCGTGCTCATGTTTGATACACAGGAGTTCATTCTCAGAACCAAGCAAATGCTAATCATGCTCAAGCATCAAGGGGAGCGCAAGGCAGAAATGCAGACCCTGATTCGTGTATGCATCAAACCGTGTGGGCATTAACTGCTTGGGTACAGTTGGTAAGAGGAGCAAGTCACTACTCAAGTTTACACATCCAAGTAAGTTCCTCCATCGGTTTGATCTTCTCGGGCTGTGTGCCTCCTTTGAAAATTTCTAAGGTTGGTTTTGTTGTTGTCTCTGTTGCTTCCCTTCATGTTACGATTAAAGATAAGGGTAAAGGTAGGATGATTATTATTGGAGTGGAATCAGATGATAAGGAGAGTTTGGATATGGGTTCTTCCACGTCCAGCTTTCATCCGACATTTCATTTGGTTGTAACATATGCAGATATGGAGATTGAGGAGAATAAACAAACTTTTGATTAAATGGAAGGTTTAGCTGCTATTCAACATGCAATTCAATAGCCTTTTATGTTAGAGGAGGGCCCGGGACAGGCTGGCGGAGCCTCATCTATTGTTGTTCATGAAGTTGATCTTCCATCTAAGCGACAGCATTTGGACTTAGATTGTAATGCAATTATGGAAACTGTGGAAGAAGCCAGCAACAAGTGGCCAAAAGGCGTTGAACGACTGTTGTGGCTTCGCTTTTTGACAGTTCAAGCCTTAGAAAGATGTGATTGCGTTTACTATTTATAATCCTACTATTTTATGTTTGTCTGAAACTCGTAATGAGTGTTCTTACATTGATGGTGTTGTTCGTTCCTTAGGTTTGTGAATTGCAGTATTGTTGATCCGATTGGCTCTTCTTAAGGCTTTTTGTTGCTTGGGATTATGATGTTTCGATTTTGCTACTTTTTAATGACTATTTCTAATTTTTATATCTCTTTGTAAATTTTTGTGAGTAATATTAAATGTGTCCTACTATTCGTGTATTTATAATGTGATAATGTGCTACGTCAAAGACAATTAATTTATTTGTATAAATATTGTTCCTTACTTGTGGTTCTGTATAGGGTGGTTGGTGATTTCAATGATATTCTAAGTTCTTCTAGAAGATAGAGGGTCGAGATTTTGATACAAATCAATCTTTACCTTTGCGTAAGTTTTTGGATGATCTAGGATTAATGGAAATTGATTTTTCTATCCCGCAATTTACATGTTCAAATCATCATTCTGATGAATCTACTACTTACATTCTGCTGGCTAGATTCCTATTTTCAGGCAATTGGTTAACCAGTTGGCCTCACTGTTCGGTAGAGCATCTGTTGGATGAGGGAGGTGACCAAAGGCTAATTCATACAGTTGGACGGTAGATAGGCTATCTGGGAAGCCGGAGTTCATGTTTGATTCTTGATGCTTGGTGGAGTCGTAATTACCAGGCTACTTCTATTGTGGTTGACGTTTGGTCGATTTCTGTTCATGGTTCCCCATGTTTTCAGCTCTGGACCTGGATGAAACCTGCATGTCATAAACTCTTCCAACGGGCCAAGCGTGGCACTACGAATTCTGCTTGTCGCATAAGAGAGCTTTGTTCTCAGTCATCTCAGGTTAGAAATAATTATCCACTTAATTGAGGGGAACTTAATATAGTGGAGTTATAATGTTCATCAGCTTGAGCGGCTGATGAACTCTATTGGAAGCAATGTTTTCGAATTTGTTTGGTTGTAGGAGGGAGACAAGGATACTAGTTATATTCATAATGTGACTCAGGCTCGGAGGATTCGCAATC